GGTTCAGAAAGTGAAAAACAATTTGGACAAAGCAGAATTAGCTTATGCTAAAAGGCTTTCAGCTGACACATGCATATTCCCATGGTAGGATTTTTATCTTCTAATGTCTAATATTTCAATGAAATTTTCATTTGCTCCAAAAGCACTCAGTCGACTATTATCTGCCATACAAGAAACATTACATTTATATTCATCAATATATATTTGCAATGTCCAAAAAATCATAAAAAAATTAAACAAGATCAATGTAGCAGATAAGAAAGTATAATACATACTCCAAGTATTGAAATACACGCCATCGTGTTGGGATTCAATATTTCGACATTAATTATGTCATCATCAGGAATGAAAAATTATCCATATTAGCAATCTTATATGCACTAGTAGCAGAGTAGTACAATTCGAGGAATTATTGGCAGAAGACGGATAGACATTTAGAGAATATGGAAGAAGACTTGAAACGTTCAGTTCTACGAGGAGGCTGTAAGAAGGCTGATAGTTGTATTCCTAAGTGAGATAGATATTTAAGAATGTGATCATAAGACTGATTGGAATTTGAAAAAAAGTGCATGGAGTGGTATTTAAATCTTGTGTTGTACCATGTATTACCATATTGAGCAAATAGGTGTGGATATGAAGAATATGAAGAGTAATCTTATAGAAGTTTACTAAGAAGATATTCAACACTTATTAAATACGCACCTTCACATTCAAAGAAAACAAGAAAAGGCACAAGATTTTCAGAAACAACAAAAGGATTATATTCAAAATAAATTCCAAATAGTCAGTGTCAGAGGTTGAGAAAAACATGAGAATAGCTAGGAAGTACGACACTGAGTTATCTAAACCATCAGAATATCTGATCTGTGTCAAGACACAGTAGTACACTGTAGGCTACAAAACTGTTGACTAGTCAGATGAAGATATTCCTTAAGTAGCCGAAGAGGAATTGCAATAGAAAACCACCAAAATGCTTGTCCACAAAACAGTTAACATCCAAATGTATATGGCAAAATTAACTTGGTGAATTCAACAATTAAATTGAGTCTTCCTAAGTTGAAAATCATAACTCCTCGTTGAAAGCGAATTTATCATGGAATGTTTTTTTTTTTTTTTAGTGTGGTGTTTGATTTTATTTTTTTAGAAAGTTAAACTAAGTTGTTTGCTTTACATGAAATGCAGTAATTTTAACATACTTAAAATAAACCTGGCAACACATGTTGTTATAATAGTCATGTATATAGTAATATTATGGTTACATAAATTAGGGCCTATATTTTATATTATAGCATTTTCCGTACAGTAAAAAAATGTATATTTACAATATTTTTTAAATGAAAAATGCTGCTTTTTCTGGCAATACAGTAACGCATATTAATAAACCTTACAACACATTCCTTAGCATGTTTTTAAACTAGTCAGGTAACTATATTTTTTATGGTTGATGAATTATATTATATTTTATAGCGCTGTTTAGTAAAAAGATGTATATTATGTTAATTTTCAATATAAACAATGCTGCTTTCTGGCAATACAGTACATAAGTTTTAAATTACTTGAAGTGAGCCTGGCAACACATTTCTTAACATGTTGTTAGACTATTATGAAACTATAGTAACATTATTTTAAAATAAATATACGTTGATTTATAATGTTATCCATTCAGTAAAAAATAATATTTTTTTATTCAAAAAATGACGTTTTTTCTGGAAATACCGCATCCACGTGTGTAAATTACCCACAACTTTTTTTCTTGATTATTGTTTGGACAACTATTTACTATCAAAATATGGAAGATAGTGGATATGTAAGCACCACTTTGGAAGTTACAGATAGGTTCTGAGGCATACTTTTGAAAAAAAAAACCCTTTTCTAAATAATGGTATCTTCATTTCATTTTCATTTAATTTCATTTATTTATTCAGACAAGTGTCTTGGGGCCCCAAAAGCAACAAAATCACCATGACAAAAGTCTGGAGCCCCAGAAAACAAAACTTAACTACATTATTAGCGAGTATATAAAAAAAGGTTTACAATGTAAAAAGTGAAAGGCCAAGACAAAAAAAAATTATAATAAAAACACAGATTTCGCACACAATTGAATAATATATAAAATTTCATAAAAGAACGATGAAAAAAATTAAGCGTCGAGAAAAAATTGTTTAACTTGCCTTACGAAAACCGAGAGAGAACAAAGGACTGCAGAATCTTTTAGTTCAGAAAGAAGTGAGGACCAGAGAACAAGGAAACGATGGATAGCAGAGAATTTGAGACAATTAGTTCGAGCGTTTGGATGTTTGAAGGTGAGAGAATCAGGGTAACGAGAATTAATTGCAAGATTATCAACAACACTGTAACAGTAATTAAAATTATACAAACAACGAAAAATAAAAGAGATTAAAATTTGATCACGACGGTCCTTAAGGGACAGCCAGTTTAACAGCTTGAGCCTCTCCTCATAAGGTAATACCCCCCAGCCGACTTTAAGAATACGCCTAGAAGCACGTCGTTGAATTTTTTCAAGACGTTCAGCATGTTTGGCGTAAACAGGACCACAAGCAGGGAGACCATACTCAATGATAGGCAAGATCATAGCTTTATACAAACAACAGATGGCTTCAGGTGAACTATTTCCAGCATGGGAAAGGATTACGCCAAGGAGTCTGTTCGACTTGGACACAACATGTGAAATGTGAACATCCCAAGAGAGCTTATGATCAAGGTGCACACCTAGGTACTTATGACTTTCAACAGATTCGATTTCATTACCATTGAGGAAGCTGTCTCTTATACACATCTAGATGTGTATAAGAGACAGGTACACTGTAGGCTACAAAACTGTTGACGAGTCAAATGAAGATATTCTTTAAGCTGCCGAAGAGGAATCGCAATAGACAACCTCCAAATGTTTGTCCACGAAACAGTGAATTCATGGTGAATTCAACAATTAAATTGAGTCTTCCTAAGTTGAAAATCCTAACTCGTCGTTGAAAGCGAATTTATCATGGATTGCTTTTGTCAGAGTGGTGTTTGAATTTGGTTTTTTTTTAGAAAATTAAATGAAGTTGTTTGCTTTACATGCTATGCAGTAAGTTTAACATACTTGAAATAAACCTGTCAACACATGTTGTTTAATAGTCATGTATATAGTAACATTATGGTTACATGAATTAGGGCCTATATTTTATATTATATAGCATTTTCCGTACAGTAATGTATATTTACAATATTTTTTAATGAAACAATGCTGCTTTTTCTGGCAATACAGTAACGCATATTAATAAACCTTACAACACATTCCTTAGCATGCTGTTAAACTACTCAGGTAACTATATTTGTTATGGTTAATGAATTATATTATGTTTTATAGCGTTAACTGTTCAGTAAAAAGATGTATATTTATGTTAATTTTCAATAAAAAAACAACAATGCTATTTTCTGGAAATACAGTACAGAATTAAGTTTTAAATTACTTGAAATGAGCCTGGCAACACATTCCTTAACATGTTGTTAGACTATTTATGTAACTATAGTAATATTATTTTGAAATAAATTTACGTTGATTTATAGTGTTATCAATTCAGTAAAAAATGATATAATTCTTATTCAAAAAATGCCGGTTTTTCTGGCAATACCGCATCCATGTGTGTAGATTACCCAGAACCTTTTTTCTTGATTATTGTTTGGACAACTATTGACTATCCAAATATGGAAGTTACACATAGGTTTCTGAGGCATACTTTAAAAAAAATATGTATTTTGAGAAAAAATCCCTTTTTGTAAATAATGGTATCTTCCAAACAGAATTTTTTACACAATTTTTTTTTTGCGATAAATGGAAGTTAATACCCGGTTATTTACATGGATGATCACAAAAATATATATAGTGCATGTTCTTGATTTTTAATAAGGTCTGAAATTTAGTGTTTTTTCAATTCTGGGAAAATGTCCAAAATTGACAAAAAATGTAAAATTTAGAGAATGTGTCGTTGCCATAACAACGAAGGCTAATGTCATAGATATGCTTTTTACCCAAGTATCTATTCATGGTAAAAATTTGAGCGAAATGTGTAATATGAATCGAGTTAGCCATTGACACTTTAATTATGAATAAATCATCAAAGCAAGAACACTGTATTTACCTTCCTTTGATTATTGATATATCACTAATACTTGAGCCCGTGTTGTCTACAAATTTACTTGTGCGAGGTGCTCTGTGTATATTGGCGAGACCAACAGACACTTAGAAACACGGGCAAATGAGCACTTAGCTTGGGACAAATCATCACACATTATTTCAACATCTTCAAAACTCCGTTAAATCAAAAACACAATTCCAATTGAGATTGCTTTACTATTCTTTACTCCGCCCACAATAATTATCAACTTAAAATAAAAGCCAATGCTTTTGGGAAATCCGTCACTGAGCAAACTTTGCTTGTTTTGTCTTATATCTGACCGGTAGTATATAAACCGGTA